TCCCGCCCCGTTCCCCCAAAGGAGCAAGGGCTGAACCACTGGGGGGCGCGAGTGCCTGAGCTGCCTCCAGCTCCTCTGTGAGCTCCCCCCTGCAGCCGTGGGACACCGTCTCTGCTCCTGGGCCCTGTGTCCGCTGGACAGGAAGCCCATCCCAGCCTCAGCCTGACCCTTCCCGCTGCCCAGTTTTGGCCATAATGAGCCTTGTGTCCTGACCCTCCCGTGACCTTCATCTGTCTCTGAATTGGTTCTGGACACAGAGCCTTTCCTTTCGTGGCCTTAGTTGGCATTCCAGCCTCCAGCAGCAGGGGGTGGTGGCGGCCCCTGGAGTGCTGGCATCTGAAGACCCGCCGGGCCCCTCCCTGAGACTCCCTGAGGCCCAGGCTGCGCAGCATGGCCGATGGGGCCCTGATTCCCGGCCACGAGAGGCCGTCTGAGGTGGGCCCTGGTTCAGGGATGCAGGGAGCTGGCAGGGGCAGGGCTGAGGTCGTCACCTCTGTGGGCTTCCTCTGTGGCAGGTGGCTGAGGTCATCGCCCCCATGGCAGATGGCACAGCCGTGGAGCTGCTGAGGCTGCGGAGCCTGGAAGCCAAGGGCGTGACCGTGCGGACCCTCTCTGCGCAGGGCGAGTCTGTGGACTCTGCCATCGCTGCCATCCCCCCCGATCTCCTGGTGCCTCCAGCCCCCCCGAGAACTCCCACACCGAAGCCATTAGCAAGTGCCGGAGTCCCCGATACCAAAGATGACCGCCCTGGTCCCCACGTCAGAGTGGACGAGGCCTGGGAGCAGGGCCGAGTGCCTTCCCACGGGCACATGCTGGAGCTGCCCGGCCTTCCTGGGAGGCGGTCACCCTCGCCCAGTCGGATCCTCCCGCAGCCACAGGGGGCCCCTGTGTCCACCTCTGTCGCCAAGGCCATGGCCCGGGAGGCTGCACAGAGAGTGGCTGAGAGCAGCAGGGTAAGGCTGATTCCCGAGCTGGTCCCACCTCTCCTGAGTGCACGCTGACCCCCCATCCAATTGCTCGCCACTGTGGTTGCCGTGTGTTCTCCACTCTCCCCTTGGGCTGCTTTCAGGCCTGATCCAGATGGAATCAGAATGTGTTTTTATTTTGCGAAGTGGACCCAATACCCAGAGGCAACGGTCATCTACCAGCCAGGCCTAGAGAACCGCTGTGACCAGCCCCCAGCCAGGCTTCGGTCTGTGTGCAGGGAGCTGGCAGGGCCTCCTGGGAGTTGGCCTGGGGACCCATCTTCCTAAATGGGCCCTGGCCCTGCTCACCTCCGAGTTCTTGCTCTGTGTGTGTGTGTGTGTGTGTACGTGTACACATACATACACACACAGAGATGCACATGCTGGTGGACATGTTTACGTACATGCATACATAATACATAAATATATTTGCGTGGTTATTACTGGGAATTGTCTGGGCTGCGGGGACAGAGAGTGTGGGACTGTATTCAGGTGTCAGGTGCAATGAGACGTGGAAGTTTCAGGAGCACCTGTGAGGTGAGGCTGCCCTCCACTCATAGGATCTAGAACTGAGCTGGACCCAGCACCCCTCCCTGCCTGGGACAAGCCCCATCTGCCCCCTGGGTGCCCAGGAGTCTGCTGTATGGTCAGGGCCCTGGCCTAGGGCAGCAGGGACAGCAGTGCTCCCAGCCAGCCCATGGGGTCTCCAGGATGGTGACTCCTGGCCACACCCGAGTGCTGGTGCTGGGAGAGTCCCCACTTCCTGGGAGTCCCAGGGGCTGGGGCAGGTCAGGGACCCCCCTGGATGTCAGAGCGGAGAGGCACCACGTCCAGGACATGGGGTGGTGGGTGGAGGGTGGGGGGGACAGAGAGCTGCTGCAACAGACATTCAGGCCAGGCTTTTAGGTGAAAACTCAGATTTGTTCAGTATTGGCCTCTAAAACTTAAACACCAACGTGTGGTCTTGGCCAAAGAAAAAACTTCAGAATAATCGCATTTATCACGGGCACACACTTCACCCTGCGGGCTTCAGAGTAGAGGCCTTACCGACGGTACTCGCAGCTTTGGCGATGCTCCGTGGGCAGAAGGCCCGGCGGGTGACACTGCCCCTGCCCTTTCGGATGGCAGCCAAGCACCCCACAGCCTTGAGACCCCACACAGGGCTCTGAGGAGCTGGAGGCAGAGATGGGGCCCAGGGACTCCTGGGGCTGTTGGGTCCCGGCCGGCCCACCCTGTCAGCAGGTGTGGAGAGAGCAAACATCTGAGGTTCATTTTTCTAGAAAGTGCTAAGTGGTCACAGTAAGAGCCAGGCTTTCCGCTGGTCTCCATGGGTTACTTCCAGTGAAGTCCAGGCCTGGTTCTGGTGAGCGTGAGTGTGGGCGGGAGCCTCAGAAACGGCCCAGGAGCCAGAGTGGTTTCTGACCAGGGCCCTTGGCACAGTGGCTCTGAGGGAGCTGGAGGGTGGGCGAAGGGAAGGGTCGAACCCAGAAGACCCAGGGGCCTGGACACCCCTTCCCCCTGCGGCCGCCTCTGACGCCTCCGCTCACCCGCGTCTTTCCTCTCCTTCCAAGTTAGAGAAAAGGAGCGTGTTCCTGGACAGGAGCAGGCAATACGCCAACTCGGATGAGGAGGACGGCTACGAGTCCCCGGACGTCAAGAGGAGGGGCGCCTCGGTGGACGACTTTCTGAAAGGCTCCGAGCTTGGCAAGCCGGTGAGTGCCAGGCACGTGGCCGGGCAGCTCCTGCTGTCAGTGCCCCGCACGGGCCTCTGGAGGTCAGAACAGCCCTGGGTC